GTGGTTACGTGATAATATTTACATCGCATAATGATCGCAGCGATATCGCAGAGATATCGAACTAATCAATATCGAATAAATACAGTTACGACTAACTTAACGATGTCGAATCTATTTTTTATCAAAATATCGTAATGATATCTTAATGATATCATTGCGATATCTAATCAATATCGATTGTAAACTCCAAGTTTCAGCAAAGGTAGCAGTTGTTATTTCTAAGGAGGTGTTATAAATCTGAACAGTATGATTACGCGTTGTTAACTGATTTGGTACATTGAATAGATTTACTATGATTTGCAGTCAGGGAGATTAAGTACGTTTAACTATGACTGAAATCCAATCAAACAAGACACGCTTAAAGTAGGGAGTTCTTTTATAGTGTAAAAGGTTATACTTTATTATAGAACTTTATAATTACAAGAATAGGAACTAATCAAAACTAATAGGAACTAAAAGAACTAAGGTGAACTGTAGGAACTAAACTTATAACAAAGGAAAATACCAACGTTATTTATATAAAAGTTACTACATATAAAGATATAATAAATATAATAGATATAATAAATATAAGAAATATAACTAATATAATAAATATAATAAATAAATTAAATATAATAAATAAAATAATTATATCGTTTATATTAAATATAATTAATATAATAAAAATAATAGGCTAAGTTGGCTGCAGCTAGGTCAGCTTGGCACAGTTGGGCACAGTAGATCCTAATTTTCCACATGATCTTTTGGTATAATAAGATGTAACTCTATACGTGACTAGGGGTAACAGCATCCCTTTGTTTTTTTGTTTTCTTTGTATGTGATGTTTTGGTATAGAGTGAAATTAATTGTATTATCTGCACAAGGAAAATCCAGTTTCATAATTTCTTCATATATTTTTTGTGATGCAACATTAATTATCAAACGATATCCAATAATATCTTTCTTTTTTTTGGCTTGTTTACTCTGATTGGTTTCACCATTATCATCACATGACTTCTTATCTGGGGCTCCTTTTGAAAATCCAGTAGGATTTTTGATACTTGAGAAATCCCTGGCCTAAAGCTGGGTTTGATATCAAATAGTCTCTCATTTTTTTGAGAGATTGGTAGCGACTAAGGCAGTAATTTTATCAAACAATTTCACACTAATAAGAAGTGAGAATGTTTGTTGTTGTTTTGTGTAGACGTGTAGTATAAAATTTCCTCCTCGGTAAAACCTTGTGAGTTCTGATCAGCATCCTGCATATTAAAATCAGCGATTTCTGGTTAATCGGACGATAACGCCACATTTTTTTGTGACGTTTCAGGAGTTTGTTTATTTGTTGTTGTGCTGAAGCATTTGATTGGTCAATGGATATTTGTTATTGTAACAGAATATCTGATTGGCCCGTATTTGTTTGTTTACTTTTAAGAGCAAAATTTGGAGCTAAAGAGAGTAAAGACAAAGTATCCCAAAGGATTTGTCCTATGGAAAGGCCCTGTTTATTGTTATTTTTTCATTTTTCTTTGTGTGAACCTTCTGCAGCTTCGCCAGAGCAGTTTATCATATTGTTAGTTGTAAGTACAGTAGAAATACTGCTAACTTGTATCAGTTGTTTATTATCATTCTGTTTCTGTTTCTCTTGTGTTGAAGACACCTGTTCACCCACCTGTCTTTGTGCAGTCTGAGACCTAGTATTATAGCATGCAGGGTTGGACATAGAAGTTAATGGATAAAATAAAACACAATATAGTATACGTAGCTTTGAAAAAAATATTTTTCTGTTCTCAATAAATTTTGGTCAAATACAAAAGCAGAAAGAGTTTTCAACAAATATATTAATACATTTAAACTAATTAACATTACTCATATATATACGTAAAAAACAATTTTTTAAAAATTACTAACAAAATTAATTAACTTAACTAAGCGCAATAACGCATTATTTATATAGTATTCATATACTACATTCATTCTGGACTTGGAACTTTGCAATGTCATGTTGACATAGTGTTAATTTTATAGCAACTATATATAATTACAGAAATAAATTAAATATATAATATTTTTAAAAAAGCATAATAAATACATATATTTAGTTTTTCATCATTTGTATTTGTTTCCAACTTAGAACATTCATTCTTAATTAAAAAATGCAGCTTCTTTGAAACAATTGTTTTTTATTCTCATATTGATTTAACATTCCTTGGCCATTATCTATTATTAATTTTTCTGCTTTTTTTTATTTAAGGTTTCTACCATCCGCCATATGTTAAGTATGTTAAGTGAAAATGAAAATTCATTATTTTATAAAATAATAAGCACTACAATCTTAATAATTAAAACTTTCATCATGATTCTAAGGATGCCAAAAAACATTTTTGTAAATTGAATGTTATATTTATGTTATTTTTTAGAAACTTTACATATCTGATATGTTACGTATAAACTTTATATATGGATTCTTTAGATATGTTACAGAGACGTTAGCATAAATAATGGAAACTTGTTAAAATTAATGTTTGCTAAAATATTCATGGTCTGATTCAAGTTCATCAAAATCAGAAGTAGTAATTCTTCAATCAGAACATCATTCTCACTTAAACCACAATCATCTCCTTCTGTAAAAGCTTCATTATCATTACTTCCAACTGAATGTTTTAAACCCAAAGGTATAGTATTAGTCTTGAATGGAAAACTATGACACAGTTAATCACAAACTGAAAATTTGAAGAAAAATATTGTAATTAATTCCCTACAATTCTATATAATTAATTATTCCTAAATAAGTAATAAAAAAGTAGAAATACATTTTTATCATTTTAATTTCTTATTAATTCCTGCATGCAATTTATTTGCCAACATTCATTGCAGTGTGGCTTCCAAATTTCTTTGTTGATATCCATATAAATATTGTTAATAAAGTCAGATAAAATTTGTTATGAATTTTTAAGGTAGGCAGCAATGTTAGAGTTTAACTATAAACATCATTTACTTCTTAAGCTGTTGATGTTGTTGTAATTGTTGTTGATAAATTTGGCCAGATTGTAGAATCCCAAATTCAGTTAAGGTCGCAATATCTTCAATATCTTCTTGCAGAGAACCATTTTTCTGTTGTAATGTTTGAACTTGGTCTCATTTACACCTGCAATTTTGCATTCTGATGACATCCTTTTACTTGCCATAATAATAGTAATTCTTCTAATATTTGTATAACCTTTTGTAATTAATTTTCTTTTTGCCACAGTGCATTTATAGATTTATTAAAGTAAAACTATAGAAAATGTACAAAAGTAATTATTATGCATTACTATAATATTATTGGTCTAAAAACCACTCATTGATAGTAATGCTAGGTTTGAAAAAATTCTTTAACAACTATTAATGCATTTCAGTTTGGATTAGAACTTATATATATCTATAATCAGTTAATTGCAGTTAAAGAATCTTGAGAAAAGAGGTATTATTGTAAAGAAGGAAGACTACCTTTAGATCCAATTATGAGAAATACCTCAAAAAATGGGTTGGCTTTAATGATCCAATTCTGAATTTCTTATTGCAAGTTGATGACATTAAAAATTGTAATCTCAATAATTTTATGGAAAATTTTAATATGATTTTGAATATAAATACTTATTAATTATATTGACATTGTTTATGTGAAATCTATCTTCAATAGGATCCATCTCATATTAATTTGTTTTTGTAGTATCATAAATAATAACATTGTGAAATTTTGGCCATAAATCAGTATATTATTAGCTTGTTATCCAAAATAGTCCTGTAAGTTCATCAGCAGGCCCTTCTTTTGAAATTTGAATATATGCCAAAATTTTCATTAAAATTATTACTAGTAAAATTTTAACCAAATCAGATTTAGTATTGATTAAATCTGTGTTACGTTTTTTAAACTAAAAATAAAAATTTTGATAATTTTTTTTTTTAAAAAATTAAATTTTTACGATTTTACTTTTGAAACGATTAGGTCTATATCACTTTCAGATTCTGATTTTTATATTCCTTATTGAGATCGACATGAGATTATTATTACAACCATAAAAGTTTTTACAAGATTAGCTCTTAATATCTTCTTGGTATTAACAGTATGAATTTAATATGTATAATGTTTAGATTGATTATCCAAGATTGATATTTCAAATAAATCTAAGTTGTGTATGTTGTTTTCTAATAATTAATTGTTATTTTCTATGTTCCAATATTTAAATATGATATATTTAATATAATTGTTAAAGACATTTAATTTTTATCAGGAAATGTAATTGTTAATGATTGTAAGTTCATCAATATATAATAAATTACTAGATGAAGTTTTTTTATCAAATAATTTACAATGTATTTTAATAATTTTACGAATTTCATGATCATTAAAAGTTTGTCAGAAAAAACTCCTATCTGATCAAAATTCCTATATTATGAAAGTAATTATATACTTCAGTTAAATAAGTCCCTTCACTCTGTTTACCATGGGAAGTACTTGTTGCAAAAACTGGATTACTCCATATTTCGCCACTAGATTTGTAAAAAATAAATATTAGAAAATGTCATCAAATAAATACCTACATAATAAAGTTATTGAAAAAACTTACAGTACGTCTAAAGTATAATTAATTTATAAATTTATACCCTCTGATGAATTATTTATAATATTTTTAACATCATCAATAACATTAACTCTTTCCAATATGCTTTTTTATAATATAATAGGCAGTGGAAATTCTTGTGATATTAGCAAGATCAGTGGCAGTATATGTTTCTCTTAATTATTAATCTTAAATGTATAATGAAAATATAATTTGTTTTGTTTTTAAAACAATTTTCAATTAGTTAACCTTTATCTGGAAAATTTGTTAAAATTCTAATGATAGGTCAGTAATAACAATAGTATTAGATGCCACTTTTTTAGATACTTTTGTTTTTTTAGCAGATTGGTTCTCATTTTGCAAAAAATATTGTATATATATTATTTAATCATATCTTTTATATGTAATTAATCAGCTTTGTTGTCAGCAAATGACATAATGAGCAAGATGGTATAAATTGAGAAATGTTGGCTAATCTGTTACTATAAATCCCAAACTTTTTAAAGATACTGCTTAAGTCTTTTAAAGTTTATATGAAGAAAATGGCTTTTTTTTTCCACATACTCTTTTACACACTTCTTAGCAAGATTTGTAAGAATAATTGGTCAAAATAAACTGGAGTTTTGTCCATATTTCCAATTTCACGAAGTTCATATCCAAATTGTTTTCATTTTTCTAATCCTCCTTTCAATTCATATTTAAGAAACATTTCTTCAGTTATTTGGAGAAAGGAATAACCAGTTATGTCTTGCTTATCAAAGTATTCTTCTATTATCTTTAAAAATTTAATAAGAGATTTAGTGTCATAATTCTTTATGTCTTTTACAATCTCTTATTCTGTGATATCAATGGATATTGAACATAGCAAATATTAAACAGTCATATAATCTAAATATCATTCTACTTTCGCGCCCAATGACCCTTTTTGTAACAAAGAATACAAATTCTATTGAATGTTTGTGATGAGAAGAAAGAGGAAGAGAATCATTATTATTATCAATTTCTTAGTTTACTGGATACAAAATATAAATGTGATGTTTCTCATACTTTTTTGAAATAAGCATCTATATCTTTGTTCAATCTGAAGTTACCTATACTTTCGAAAGTTTTTTTTCTTGTGAGAAAAGGAACTGGCATTAAATTTCATTCTTCTGTTATACTTGATAAATATAAGAACATCTTCTATACTCTCTTTTAAAGTGACTGTATTACTTTCTTTTGTAGTATTGATATGCAAATTCAATTAATTTAGATATTAATGTATTAACAAATAAAATAATAATATATCTTTAAATTTTTGTAATGCTATACTATATTAATCTGTGTTTTCTTTATATATAATATAACATTTTGCATAAAATATCAATGTTTTTGAAATATCATCTTATTATCAAACAGTAATTTTGCTAATTTTTATATAATAGTTTTATTTTTGTTGAAATTTTGCTAGTACCATCCATATACAGATAAAAATTGATGCAATAAGTACTAAACTTTGTTTTTCCTTTTTGGTAGATTTTCTTGCTTGTTTTTAATCAGCTTTCTTAAATAGTATTTTGCAAATGAACAAATTAAATAAGATTGAAAATTATCTCCTTAATTTAAAGTATGATAAAAGAATGGTAAAATTTCTTTCTGGCAGTACCTGCATTAATTATATGAAAATTCTCTTAGCACTTATCTTTAGCCAGCATTCTGACCTTGGAACAATACCTTCATGTGAAATAATTTCCTTTCTGATGTCATTATAAATAAAAACTAATATCATTCTATAATAAAATTTAAATGAAGTAAAGTGTATCTTCTGATTGTGGATTGAAATATTAAAATGAAGCTTTCTCCTTTTGTTTATATCCGATTTCTTGAGCTCAATCTTGTATAGATTGAGCTCTTCTATTTTCTCTATTTTTAATACTATTATTTTAAACCAAGTATTTTAAATTTAACCATTTTGTTTATAATGCTAAGTTTATTCTTAACTTCAAAGTTTCTGGTTGGAATCAATTCTTTGATGAATATGAAAATCTTCCTCTATGTTAATATTTTAGTATTCACCACTGATCATTATACTTTTACCAACATCATCATCTATATAAATATCTATTGCATTTTTGATGGTATTTGTTGATTACGAAGAGGTTTGAAGATTTAGGTTTCTTGATAGGAAAAAAGCAAATATAAGGTAGTGTACTGATTGATGTTAACAAATAGCAAAAGTGTATAAACTGAACAGATGCTGTATGCTGATACCAGCCTTCTTATAAAGCTTTATCAAATATCTAAATTTTTTTTCAAAAGTTACATGAAAATTTGATATAACTTATTTAATTTGTTGAGTTTGTTCAATTTTTGTTTCTGCCCTATTTTTATGATTGGTTTACCCTTCCAAAACATTTTGTACCAAATCAATGTAAAAGTTTCCATATCATTTAAGTTGTTCAATTTGACAAGTTCAAATATCATCATAAAATGAAAAAACAGGTTTTATTCCATAGTTTCTAAAACCATGAATAACTATTTTAATTTGATTGTCTTTTATAAATGAATGAATAATATAAAGTTTAAAAAATTATTAAATTTGCAAGTTTATTGTATTGTCAAATTGTTTGGTAATTAGTGTACTTTATAATGCTTTTTTGTATATTAAATTCAATATTATTTTTAAATAATTTTATGCACATGTCAATCTTCTTTTTTCTATTCAAAAATTAAGATGCATATGCTGAATGCCAGATTTAACTCTACATGATTGCATCTTCTTTTCACATCACTTTATCAGAGTATAGTAACTTTGTATGCATAGATATCACTAATTCTTGAAATGGAAAAATGATTCATTTTCATCTTTTTTAAGAATTCTGCATATAAATTCTATGAAATGGACTTGATGTGTATTAAAATCCTGATACTAGGTATTATGGTTGCATTTGATGTCATCTGCTGTATGATAGGGTGACGATAGTTGTATAGTCATATCAGGACTCTTTCCTTGAAATCATCAGTAAGTCATTTGGTATTCCTTGAAAGATCTGTTTGCCCATATTAAAAACAAGGTAATAACAAAAATGAGTGGTAAATTTCATCAAAATTTTAATAGAATGCTGAAATAATAAGAGGAGCAATAATAGGTAAGATTAACAAATAAGATGTAAATATAATAATATTCTAAGTAGAAGGAGTAGTAGCTCTTTTAAATAAATATTCCAGATAGTTCAACAATAATTCTTCATTCTTAAAACCTTTTTAAATATATTTTAAATTAATGAGTAGTAATTATTAATAATTATTTCTTTTTTGTATTGCAAGGGATTCAACTCAAGATCAATAAGCAAATGATTTAGATTCATATTAAGGTGTGTCTTATTTCATGTGACATCTCCATAATTATTTTTGCAAAAGTTACAATTTATATGGATATTTGTTATGATGGTTTTAGTACTGTATATCATATCTGGATTTTCCACTGATGATTAGTTGTCCTGAAATAACTTGTTTAATTTTGAAGAAATTATATAAATTCTCATTTGTATATAATCCAAATTGGTTTATCCTGAAAGTATAACAAATTAATTTCCTTTTCAGCA